TTTCAATCCTTGACCCATTTGGTGTTTATTCTTCTGAATGCTGTAATATACAAAATCATCTTTTTCCACATGGCTACTACGTTGTCCCAGCACCATCTTCTAAGTCTATCTTTACCCCCGATGATTTGAGATCCAACCTTTGTTACATAAAATTCTGGACTGCCTACTCCATCCCACTGGTCCACTATCCATTCATGCGCAATTACCTCACTATTTTATAGAGGATGCTTTAATGTTTGGTAGGGATTTTTCCACACGGTTTTTCTTTTCCAGTGTTTTCCTGGCGATTCTTACATGTTTATTTTTCCACATGAACTTTCACATCAACCTGTCCTAACTTTATTAAATAGTTGTCAGAATTTTCATTGGCATTACAGTGAATTTATAAATTCATTTAGGGAAGAACTGACATCTTCATAATTCTAAGTCCCCACAGAATTTAAGAACAAATGATGTCTTTCCATTTTTTCAAGTCTAGTTCTGTGTTTTCTCAATGTTTAAAAAGTTTTCCTCTTACAGGTTTCATACATTTCTTGTTAAATTTATTCCCAAGTATTTAATTTTATTACCATAAGTGATGTTTTCCTTAATATCATATCTTGTTTATTATTTGTGTGTAAGAAGACTATTGGTTTTTGTATGTTAATTTTATATCCTACTACTTTACTGAATTGCTTTATTGTTTGAATTAGTTTTATCATTGATTATCTGGAGTTTTCCAAATATACTATGATATCATCTCCAGATTTTACTTCTGCTCACCCATTCTTATGCCTCCAACTGATTTCTCTAGTCCAACTGCAGAGGTTAATACCTCTTATACAATGTTAAATAGCAGCAGAAACAGTGGGCATCCTTGCCTTGTTAAAGATCGTAGTGGAAATGACTCTAGTATTTCTCCATTAAATAAGATACTGGCCTTAGGACTAAAGTATATACATTTCTGATAATATTCTTTATAAAAGAAGAATAAATGAATAGTTTCTTAACGTAACAAAACACATGCATCATGCCAAAATCCAACACCATGCTTCATGATGAAAATGTGGAAGCATTCCCATCAAAGACTGAAGAAGCAAGGATCCCTGTATTTAACATTTTCCCCCAAATTAACCATTAATAGATTTAGTCTATTGAAGGAAATAGGAGATATTAATATTAGAAAGGCAAAAGCATCATTATTTGCAAATGATGTAATCAGCTGCTTGGAATACCCAAGATAACAAAACTCTGATAGACAATGAAAGAATCTGGCGGGCTGCTGAGTACTTTAGTAATACTACTTGAAATGTACGTCTGACTTTCAGGAGGCCTGGCCTCACAACTGGGTACTACCTAGGTGAGATTTTCTCTACTGTACACAATACAGGTCCAAAAACTTGTTTTTCTGCATATATTAAAAACTAGTGAGGTTTAAAGAATTGGTATTGATTTATACTAATAGAAAAAGGTAATTGATTAACCATAATAATTTGCTAATTTACAGAGAAAAACATAAATGCCAAAAACATACATACTTTAATCTTAAATTCTGATGCATATTACAGTACAGCCCCACATGAAGTGGCTGTAATTCTGTGCGTATTACAGTACAGCCCCACATGAAGTGACTGTAATTCTGTGCGTATTACAGTACAGCCCCACACGAAGTGACTGTAATTCTGTGCGTATTACAGTAGAGCCCCACATGAAGTGACTGTAACAGTAAAATACATTTTCCCTATACCGTAATTGTCCTCCAGTAAGAAGAGTCTAACAGGTGAGGACATACCACTGCATGTCCTAATGGCCGATAATTCTTCTCAGAGAATTCAGGGCAGTAAGTTTGTTCTGAAGAGTTTATAGTATGGAAAGTGACTTGTTTCTTACTAACTATTCAAATAATACTGTTCATACTTTATTTATATCAGGACCTGGCGATTTTTGGGTTTACTGTTCCTTCCATCACAACACACTTCATTTTTTTTTTTTTTATAGATTTTATTTATTTATTTGAGAGAGAGAGAATGAGAGATAGAGAGCACGAGAGGGAAGAGGGTCAGAGGGAGAAGCAGACTCCCTGCTGAGCAGGGAGCCCCATGTGGGACTCGATCCCGGGACTCCAGGATCATGACCTGAGCCGAAGGCAGTCGCTTAACCAACTGAGCCACCCAGGCGCCCAACACACTTCATTTTAACATACATCATTTCTCTTTGAAAACAGAAACTATAAATTAATAAATATATACAGTAAATGTTATGTACACAGTATAGTAAGGGCCTTAGCTCAGTGAGGTATATAAATAGTAATGCATCTTCATTAAACCTGAAATTCCCAATGTTATAATTAATCCTACAATTTTGGTACTTGATTTCTCCTCTGCACCAAATATTGCCGTACAAACTACATATTAATCTACGTTGTTAAAAGTTAAGAGTGATAACCTTTGAAGAAAAAGATGGTAAGAGTAATTTGGAGGGGGCATGATGAATGATTTCGGAATTTTGGTAATTCTTGTGTGGTGATTTTATAGGTATGTTCACTGTGTGATAATGCATACCTGAGATTTCTGTGCACTTTTCTGTATACAACTTATTACTTGAGTCAAGAGTTAATTTTTAAAAATAAGCAGAAAGGGAGCCTGGGTGGCTCAGTTGGTTAAGCGACTGCCTTCGGCTCAGGTCATGATCCTGGAGTCCCAGGATCGAGTCCCACATCGGGCTTCCTGCTCAGCAAGGAGCCTGCTTCTCCCTCTAACCCTCCCCCCTCTCATGTACTCTCTCTCTCTCTCTCTCATTCTCACTCTCTCAAAATAAATAAATAAATCTTTAAAAAAAAATAAATAAATAAAAATAAGCAGAAAATTGAAACAAAATAAAAACAAACCACACAAAAAGACCTCCTACATCCCAAATAAAGTAGCTTCTTTGGAAGCATGCTGTAGTGCAGTTAGGGTCTCTCTGCTGAAAACAGTAACGAAAAAACTTATCTTTGAAAACCCTAAAGTCATTCAGCTTGATGAGATGCTCACACTATTGGGTAACTGTGGAAAAGTAAATTCACATCTTCTATTTTAACTTTTTTCTGTGTGTGTCTGAGTGCGCACACGCGCGTGCTCTGAAGTAGAAAGGGAGGGATGCTTGGGTGCCTCAGTTGGTTAAGCGTCTGCCTTCAGCTCGGGTCATGATTCCAGGGTCCTGGGGTCAAGCCCCGCACTGGGCTCCCTGCTCGGCAGAGTCTGCTTCTCCCTCTCCCTCTGTGACCTCTCTTGCTTTCGCCCTCTCTCAAATAATAAATAAAAATCTTAAAAAATAAAAAAAATAAATGAAGCAGAAAGGGAGGCTTACTTGTTCTATATCAACTGTCATGTGTATTTGATTATCTCTACCATTCTCATCCCCTCTTTTTCTTGCTTTCTCTTATTCTTAGACATCTGTAGTTGAATCCCCTTAGGCTTCATATACATATGATACAACTAAGTCATATAAACTAGAGGAGAAAAACAACAATTCTTACAAAACTGCAACATCCCCACCCAGACGCTATGGGCACATCAATCAACTCAAACTCGTCACACTAACTCCTATTTCTCTCTCAGGACTGAGACTTACTCTTCTACCCAACCTCCCTGTAGCAGCTAAATTCCTCCAGGCCAGAAACTCAAATTCCAGGCCAGCCTCAGAAACACTACTGACTCCATTCCCTTTAACATCCAGCCCCATGCATGACACCATGTTCCGCCTCTGGGAAGTCTTTTCTCTCTACTCTTCTTGCCTACATCCCCGTTGCTATAATCCTACGTGGTACTCCTAAACCCCCGCATGAATTATCGCAAAGACCTCCTACCTTCTACTTTTCTCTCTCCCCCATTCCAATTCATCTTTCACATCATCACCAGATTAATCCTCCTGAAGGATGATGGTGAGCATAGCACACTTGCTTAAAAAACAGTCAATGGCCTTCCCTGCATTCTGGATGAAGTCCAAGCCTGGCTTTAAATTTCTACAGAGAATTTCTAGAAACAACCATGAAATTAGCCCTCTTTTTCTGGCCAACATAAAAGTTATTTTAACCACTAAAAGAGGAAATATACTGTATTAAAAAAAAAAAACAAAACAAGGGAAAAAATCCAATTCAACCTGTTTTCTGAACAAGGCATAAACATGACTATCATTCAAGATGGAAGAGTCAAAGAAAAGTCAGAAGCAAATAAAGAAAGAAATAAATCCATCCATAGTTGGAAAATGTTTGGTCATAGGCAAACAGGAATGTCGCCTCCTTGAATATAAATCTAAATCTAGTTCCTAGGCTCCAAAGACTGAAGGGAATTAGAGTAAATATCATTGCTATATATGAGCGATTTCTAAGACTCTGCAAGCTTGACTTTTATTTTCCTTACTATAGCACATTTAGGTCATTCTCCGTAAGAAAACACTCAGGAGAGATATTGTAACATGGCTACTATTTCTGATCAGTTGTGTTTTGCTTTTTGAGGAACTTACAGTATAAAGAAAAACAATGTAACAAAATAAAGACTGATGTTCCCTGATCAAGTAGTATTTTATCCCATGACAAGTTTGAAAACATCCTCGCATATAAGAATAAATATCCCCTATAAGTAATGATTCGATCGGTACTCACTGATTCAGTGTTCACAGCCACTTTACAGAACATAATCACTGTGAATAACAAGAATCAACTGTATCTCTAGGGAGCACGTTTTACTTGCAACATGAAAATCACTAAAATGGTTAACTACAGATGCACATAAAACATGACACAAGGAGACTGTTTAAAAATTAAGTACATTAAATGTAGTAAAGTCTAGAGCAGGGATGGCAAACAGATCTCATCTTGCACATCAGCTCAAAAGAACAATGAATGAGTTCTGCATAAGGTGACTTCGGCAGCTGTGCTCCAGAATACCAGGGAAAGAGTACTAACTGCAATCAGTAATGCCGGTCAGAGGTGTGAGAAGGATGGGTAAGAACACTCGCATCAAATATTTGCCATCCCTGGGCTACTGTACTGGAAATAATCTCCAAGAATACACAATCATACAGTTACTTACTGCTTCAACAGAGTTACATTCCCGTCTGGTTTCTAAATAACGTAGTGCTCGTTTTTCTTCTTCTTTTAATTTAGCATCTGCCTGCCCAGAAGCAAAATAGCAATCATTTTTAAGAATATCAAGGGAAGAGCTCAAATTATCACATATACTAAGTTCTGACTTACATATTTCATATAATTCTGTACACCATTTTGTTGTAAATACGAGGGTGCCTGTGTTCTATAAAATCTCTCTGTTGAATCCAAGTATGCCTTCTCAAAATTGTCCCTATAAATTTGAAGCTTATCTTCAGGATTAGAACAAAGGTTAACTGAAAAACAGAAAATAAATTTTACTCTAATTATGTTTCAAATCAATATTTTGAGTACAATAAATAACAAATAGTGAGGAGTCATTATGTGCAAGGGACTGTGACAATGCTCAAGAGAACATAAATCATATTCCTTCTCTGTAAGAGACTTAAAAAGGTAACAGCACAAGGCACTGAAATGACAAATAGTACAGACAGAATGGGCTATCATATTTCTGAATAGGAAACAGAATGACCTCCAACTAGATGGTCAAGAAACCATTCATATTTGAGACAGGATTTGAGATGAGTCTTAAGGAAAAACTAGAATTTACACAGAAGCTAGTAAAGTAAGTAAATATCGGGAAGTACCAAATCACAAGGCCAAGTCAAGGTAAAATGACCACATTGTCTGAGTGGACTGTAAGGTTAGTAGAAAACAAGGTAGAAAGGGAAGTTAGGAATGGTTGTAGAGAGCCTCAGCACTCAGACTAAGTGACCTGATTTCAGCGTGGTGTACCACTAAATGCTAAGAAAAATACTAACTAAATAGTACTTAAAAATTAATCTTGTGAACAGTTCATGGGTTAAATTATAGCAATAAGATCACTATAAGAAGACTGTTTCAAAAGTCCAGAAGCAGAGTTTACACAGTATAAACTGGTGTCAGCTGAAATAAGGAGGAATAAATTTCAATGACATGGCTACTAACGAAAGCCTAAAGACTTTGATACCTAAGGAAATATGGGGCAACAGAAAGAGCCAAAGATAGCTAAAGGTTCATTAATACAAAAAAATTCTTACCAAGGCATACTTTGTGCCCACATTCTATGTTCAGTAAAGATACAGTGTCAACAACACAGTTAACTGAAGTATGATGACAGGGAGGCACCGGTACTAGGAAGCAACCTGAGAGGGCCCTGAACTAGTCTGGGAATTAGGAAAGGCTTCTGCCAGCAAACAGGAGGAGGCTGAGCCACAAGTAAAGCGGAAAGAGGAGTGTTCTCAGAGAAAACAGCGCATCTGATTAAAAGAACAAATGAGAGTATGATGGTCAGAAACTGAAAAGTTCAGAGAGGAATGTGTACATGGAATAAACGTACTTCCTGAAAATATAAGTACAAAACCAGTTACCACCTTTTCTGAGTTATTGATTCAAACCTACGGTTTCTCTAATTTAGGTCACTAAAAAGATTCACCAGCCAAGAAATGAGTGAGATGGAGAAAACCAGTATTAACCACAGGAATGTGGATTTTTTCTATATTTCCTTGAAGAGATTTAATACCTTCTGTGGGCTCTTAAAAGCATCTGGCATCAAAAGTAGGTGTGACTATTTGATAACACAGATAACTGATCGTACTATTCTGTAATGGTCTCAGAATTTCCATAAAAAATCATGATCATAAAAGTTCAGAACATACCATAGGATTCTCTAACTCCAATGACCAGCTGAGAATCAAAAGCTTCTCCTAATCTTTCAGCATGTACCAGCTTCATTGCACTATCTTGGAGTCTGTTTTTTATATTTGAAAAGATGGACTCATTCCATGTATCAAGCATGAGCTAGGAAAAGAAGAAATATGCAATCATCTCAATTATTAATATACCAGGTACCATACAGAAACAAAAAATTTAACTATAAATACTAAAAAAGGAAATCAAATTCTTAGGCCTATATTCACTTGAATACTTCAGGGAACTAGTGTATTTAAGTGTGGTTAAATGTTAACTTATTTACTGGATTTCCCATCTGAAAATAGTACAAATAATAATACAAATTTCAAGTGGTTGTTGTAAAAATTAAATACAGCAATACATGGAAAAGCTTACCTCTCCTATAGTTACAAGGTTAAATTTCAGTAGTATTGGTGTTTGGAATGCTCATATACATATTTGTATAATAAACACATGATAAATACAAAAAGCACCAAATGAAAACCTGTGTGATACTGGACCTACAAATCCACCTGACAGATGTTCCATTTAAATGATGGCAATGTTATACACATATCTGTATGTATTATCATTCCAAGAAACTGTGTCAGATACAGAAAATACATTAATGACAACAGCATCAGCATCAATGATAACATTAGCAGGTATACAACATTCACTGTATACCCAGCACCGCTCTAAGTACTTTTCACACGTAACTCATCTAATCCTCAATACCAATAAAATAGGTACTGTTATCTCCCTTTTTAGAAATGTAGAATCTGGGACACTGAGAGGAAAGCTAGTTTCCCCACCCTTATACAGCTCATAAACGGCAACACTGGGATGTGAATCCAACAGGTATGGTCCCAGAATCTACGCTCTTAATCATTAAGGGATGCTGATTCCTATAATCAGTAGGGAATGGTATAAATTAAGAATAACAAAAAAACAAGAGAGGATAAGATTATGGAATTGCAAATTAAAAAGCATCTAGAAGTACTTTTCTTTTTCTTTTTTGGGGGAAGGGGGATAATTTCTCACACTGCAGTTATTTCTACCACCGGAGAACCCCTGGGTGTCTAAATTCACAGCATCCCTGTCCATATCAGCACAAAGTTTAGAGTTGGGAAGGAACAGGAATGCCTACGCCACTATTTGAACGCCTGACTTTGTTGCTATAACCTTCATGCAAGTAGCAAGTTGCTTAAAGTCCAAGAGGCATTTTTCACTTTTTTACTTTTCAAATCTACGTTTCCACTTGATTCTCAGAAGCAGGAATACATATGCGAAATGAGGACAGAGAGTTTAGGTCATTACTGATTGAAGAGTTGAAAAGAAAACCTGGGATTCCACTTTCAGAGCTGAGTTCTTTCCATTAAATCACGAGGGGTTACTGGACACAGAGCTTCTAACTAGAAACCATGCAAAAATATGAAAATAAACACAGTACATAATGAGTTCATGGTAACTGGAAACAAGTAAAAAGATCATGAAGATAACAATTTAGCCACAATTAAACACAAAGATACAAGAAGGTAACCTAACAAGAGATTTTTGAAAGAGGAAAAAAGTAATTTATAGGAAGGTAAAAGTAAAAAAGAAGAAGAAGGAAATACTGAAGATAAAACCAGGAAAAGGAGAAAGCAAGGCGCTACCATCTGAGGACACAGACACACAACTTAACACCATGCAACATAACGAAAGAGGAGTGCAGCTAAACGTGGGAGGAGGAAAGTTGGGAGGATTCGGTAAAACCCAGCAAGAGTCAAAAAGGAATTTATACCTCGAGTAGAAAAACCACTTAAAGTCTGAATTACTTTCTAAAGTTGTAAAATTACCTTCTTTCTGAAGATTAGGGTAAAAAATGCAAAATGTAACTTACTTTTCGAACAATACTGTCTTCTACAGTTGATTTTTTATTGCTGCCCTGTTTACCCATTAAAGTAATCTCCAGCTGACAAAAAGGCTTCGGTAAAATATCACACTGTGTAAAGAATTTTCGCCATTCAACAATATATGCTTTTAGCAAAGCTGTATCATCTTGATGGCTCAGTACTCGCTGAAAAAAAAGAAGCATATGAATTTGAAATAAACACAGATAGGTGCTTGAAAGAAGAACAGAATATATTCATGCTATAAATATAAAATATGTAAAATTATATATATACATATATAAACATATATATAAAACTTATAAAAATATTTTATTGTACAATCTATATGATATCCAAGAGAAATCAAAACATGTTCACAAAGACTTACTGTGGCAATCATGTTGGTACATACATAAAATCATAATGTGCACATGAAACTAATAAAATGTTTTACGTCAGCTATATCTCAATAAAAAACCCTAATATCCTAAATCCTTAAGCTATCACCTTTTTATCCTCCCCTAACTACCATTCCCACCCATCCCTTCCCCAACCCTAAGCAACCACTAATTTACTTTCAGTGCCTATATATTCGCTTGTTCCAGACTTTCATATGAAAAGAAACATGTAGCACCAAAAACTAATGATGTAATATATGGTGATTAACATAACAATAAAAAATTAAAAAAAAGAAAGGAAACATGTAATATGTAGACATTTATTTTATTTTTTTAAAGATTTTATTTATTTTTGAGAGAGGGCACGCAAATGAGAGAGGGAACACATGTGCATGAGCAGGGGGGGAGGCAGAGGGAGAGAGAGAATTCCCAGCCGACCACACACTTAGTGCAGAGCCCTATACATGGCTCGATCTACCACCCCAAGATCACAACCCTAGCTGAAACCAAGAGCTGGACTCAGTCCACCTGACTGAGCCACCCAGCGCCCCCAACATGGGGCCTGAACTCATGACCCTGAGATCAAGACCTGAGCTGAGATCAAGAATCAGAAGCTTAACCGACTGAGCCACCCAGGCACCCCATAATACGTAGACATTTATAATTGACTTCTTTCATTTAACAGTTTCAGGGGACCCCCGAAGTCCTCGGATGTATCAATACTTTATTCCTTTTATCGCTGAACACTATATCATTTTACAGATACACCACATTTAGTTTATTTATTTTGTCCACTGATGGACATCCAGGTTGTTTCTACCCATTGGCTATCATGAAAAATGCTGCTATAAATATCTATGTCCCAAAAAAATGTTCATGAAAAACCTGTGCACAGTCACCAAGAAAAAAAGAGGACTCGAACAGTATCAGAAATGAAACAGGAGACATTACCACTGATAACACAGAGATACAAAGGACTGGGGCTCCCGGCTAGCTCGGGTGGTAGAGCACGCAACTCTTTTTTTAAGATTTTATTTATTTATTTGAGAGCGAAAACAAGAGTTGGGAGCAGGGAGCACAAAGCAGGGCTCAATCCCAGGACCTTGGGATCATGACCAAGCCCAAGACGGACGTTTAACCTATCTGTGCCACCCAGGTGTCCATATTTTATTCTTTTTGATGCAATTGTAAATGGGATTGGTTTTTAACTTTCTCTTACTGATAGCTTGTTTTAAGTGTATAGAAACGGAATAGATTTATTTTTGTATATTGATTTTTTAACGTGCGTCTTTACTAAACTCATCTGACAGTTTTTTGTTAGAATCTTCATGGTTTTCTCTATATTATGTTATCTGCAAATAGTGACGGTTTTACTTTTTATTTTTTTAACTTCTTCCTTGACTTGGATGCCTTTTATTTCTTTTCTTGTCTGACTGCTATCAGTACTATGCTGCATCAAAGTGGTAAGAGTTAGCATTCTTGTCCCATTCCCGATCTTAGAGGAAAAGCTTTTAGCTTTTCTCCACTGAATGTGATTTTAGCTGTGGGTTTGTCATATACTGCCTTTATTATGTTGAGGTACATTCCCTTTATACCAACTTTTTAGGAGTTTTAATCATAAATAGATGTTGCATTTTGTCAAATGCTTTTCTGCATCTATTTGAGATGATCATATGATTTTATACTTCATTTTGTTAATGTGGTGTTTCACAAAGGTTTGCTTGTGGATGTTGAACTAACCAATCTTGTATCCCTGGAACAGATCCCAGGAATACCTAGGAATAAACTTAACCAAGGAGGTGAAAGACCTGTACACT